CGAGTCGAGCGTCTTAACCATCTGGCCATTCCGGGCCCGAAATTTCATCTTATGCAACAATATAAACGATACAACAGTATTTATGTACACACATATATTGTTGATTCTTACACTTGAAAAGTTTCAACAATTTTAGTGAATAGACAGGAATTTCAATGCAGATTTAACAGTATAAGTTATGTACATTTCTAAATATGAATTTAACTTAAACAAAGATCGATATTAAAATAGATATATGATAGTAAATCCATCACATACATAACTAAGAAGTGTTTCCTGAACTATTCTATCTAATTAAGAAGCGTTTCCTGTACTGTTCTACCTAATCAGGAAGCGTTTCCTGAACTGTTCTACTTAACTGGGAAGTATTTACTGAACTGCTCTAACTAACTAGGAAGTGTTTCCTGAATTATTCTAATTAGAAAGTGCTCCATGAATGTTGTTACGAGAACACTCTGTATAATTTATTAACCGAAGATGGTTTTCTGATGATCATTATGCCTACCTCCCCCTCCCCTCTCCCCATTGGCTCAGCGGTAATTTTGCAGACTTATAACGCTAAAATTCGGATTTCGATACCCTTGGTGGGAACAGAACAAACAGCCCATTGTGTAGAGTTGTGCTTAACTACAAACAAGCTATTGATTATTACATGTATCTATAATTCTATGATGATTCACAAGGAAATACTGCCTGAACCTTTGGTAATGGAAAATTATTGTTTATGATAAAAACTAAAATGTTCGTCATATATCAATACTTTCAACTGAAGCTAATTATTTGACCCATGTTTTAGATGTTTACATTGTTAAAATGTACAAGTATATTAAGTTTTAAGTACACACACACACACCTATATATATTGTTACGTCTCTGGTTGTTTGTTAATTTCTGGTAAAAAATCTTCCCGAGGAACTTCAGCGATACAAGTCCTTTCTTAATAAAACTAGTTTGTTCTTTCAATACAACTTTGCAATACACAGAATTTCCACAGTCACTTTAACTTAAACACACGCTATAATTCACAACGATTCACGCAGTTTACTTACGGTCACTACCGCTCACTTGACTCAATTATCTGTCTCTATATCTGTCTATCTGCAATTATTTCTCCGCTTTATTTGCCGGACTTATATACTAAAATAGGGTGCATCTAGCAAACACTCGGGCCTTCATGAGCCTTCTAGAAACTCATCACGTGTTACCAGAGTCACGTGACTTCCGCTGTCGTAACAATATTAATATTCTTCAATATGCTGATCAACTCTAACGTGTATTGAATTTTTCATTAATGTACAGTACATATATATACATATGTATAGGCCTATATATACATGATCCAAACCAAGCTTGCTTACATATTTTTATACGAAACTTTTAATAAAATAGAAATAATAGGATGGATAATCTTAAATATAACATTTGGGATAATTAAAATGAGCAATATTTTTTTGTATTTACAGTATGCGATGTAAATGGAGAAAACTTTCCAGAGGGTGACCTAATTCCGTCTTCTAGTGGTCCATGTATAGAGTGTCGCTGTGGTTCGCAAGGTCAAATTGACTGCAAACCTCTTGATTGCAAAATTTCCGATCCTGTCGTTACAAGAACATTTATAAAGTTGCAAGAACATTAGTCGTAAGAAATGTTTTTTTTTTAACACGTGAAAAAGTCGTGTGATCAACTGATAGGGTTCGTACTCTATATGACTATGCATATTTATGTGAGAAAAAGTTACTGTAAGTCATGGAACTACAGTGGCTAAAGAGTGGCTCCACAATGAAAAACTGCCGTTATATGTCGTTCATTTGCTAAACGCTTTCTTGGAAAAATTACTTCACTTTTAAATGGAAATCGTTTAAACCATTATTTTGATTAAGACGTCGAATAAAATACAACGAATTTTTATGTATCTATATATATTTAATTGTTTAAGCGTAATATTTATATAAATGTAACTTGCGTCATATCAAGTTAAGCTTAGCAAATGAAATACTTTAATAAAGACTGAAACTCATGTTATAGAGCAAATATGATTTTTATTACTAATTAATAGTTCCAAAAATAAATTCATCTCCAAGATTGGTTGAAAATAATTCCAAATGATTGATGATAATTTATTTATATTCTTAACAGATTAAATATTCCAATGTACATGGTAGTATGAAATTTTAGGTAACAAATAAAATAATAATACAGTATGGTAAAATTTCCATCGAGTAATGCATATATGTTAAACAAATTTTATTCTGTTCATTAGTTATCTGTAAAATGTGCATACCTCAAATAAAGCATTTTAATGCGTTTTTTTAAATTTATATACGTTTTCTTTGAGTTATAAATAAATTAAAACAGATCTATTATTTGAGAATGTTCTAGAACTTGTGGTCTTAAAAATTCTAAGCGGTATAATATTAAACAGAAAGCTGTGCTATCTTTTTTCCTTTACTTAAGTCAGTGTTCATTATCATAAACGTATGGAGACTTGTTTGAAGGTTCTGTACACGAAAGTTTTATGTTCAGGAGAAACTTTCTGCGTGGTTTTGTTCAATAAAATGTTTTTGGTATTGATATTCTCTATGTTAGTATTCTTTTGGTACCTTATGAATGAGAATAAACAAAAACATTTAAACTTTTTATGATATGACTAAGTTAATATACGTATATATTTGCCTTTATGTTTTGTTTTATTAGCATTTCTACTGCTTTCGTGTAGACAGTACGAATCAAAATTGAAAAATAAAGTTTAGATTAGACGTATGCTTCTGCCCC